TAAATAAAAATTTTAAAAGATAAGAAAGCATCTTAATAGCAGCAAGAGAAAAGGATACTGTTACCTACAAGGAGTTCCCATAAGACTGTCAGCTGATTTCTCAAAAGAGACCTTACAGGCACGAAGGGGCTGGAAAGAAGTATTCCAAGTCATGAAAGGCAAGGCCCTATACCCAAGATTACTCTTCCAGCAAAACTTTCATTTATAATGGAAAGGAAGATAAAGTGCTTCTCAGATAAGGTCAAGTTCAAGGAGTTCATTGTCACCAAGCCCTTATCATATGAAATGTTAAAGAGACTTATCTAACAAAAAGAAGATAAAAACTGTGAACAGTAAAATGACAACAAACTCACAACTATCAACGATGGAACCTAAAAGAAAAGAAAAACAATGAAAACAAAAACTAAGCAAACAACTAGAACAGGAAAAGAATCAGAGAAATGGACATCACATGGAGGGATTTCAGTGGGGAGGGGGAAGGGAGGAATAGAGGAGAAAGGTATAGGGAAGAAGAAGCATAATTAGTAGGCATAAAATAGACAAGAAGAGATAAAAACATGGTATAGGAAACAGAACTCAAAGAACTTAAATGTACAACTCATGGACATGAACTAAGTGGAGGGAATGCTGGAGGGTTGGAGGGTACAGGGCAGAGGGGGGATAAAGGGGGAAATTGGGAAAACTGTAATAGCATAATCAATAAAAAATACTTAAAAAATAAAATTTTAAAAATTAAATGGCAAAAAAAAAAAAAAGTGGGAGAGAAAAGGTTGGCAGAGCCAGTAAGCCCCTGTTTGGGAACAATCTCTGTGGGTTTAGGGCCTCTCCATTCTCTGCAGCTCTTGGGGACAGCTCTCTGCAGCTCTGCAGAAGGGGTAGCAGGAAGCACCAATGTGGTATGAGGTCTTGGGAATGAATGCCAGGCTCTCTGCAAAACCAAAGCGAGGACGAGGTTAGACTCCACCCTCCTCTGTCATTCAATTTCCCCAACTTCACTTCGCAAACTTGAGAAGATGATCTAAATATAATTTTCCTAAATAGACATTGATATTACATACCAGTGCTTGTCTGTTCCTTTCACATGAATGTGTACATGAGTAAGGAAACAGAGAGAACCTGAAACACAGGAGCATGCTCTCCCTCAGGAAACGACGCTGAGGATACCCAACAGCCACTGCTGTATATTTGGGTTTTATTCCCATTGTCTTTAATGCTCAAAAGAAAAACCTCAAAGTTGAAGCCCACAGTTCTGTAAAGTAGTGTTATCTTCACTGATGGCTGAAGATACTCCCTGCAGTGTGCATGCTCTCCTGGACACAGAGCCAGCTCTTTTGTGGTTGGAGGGTAAGGCTACATGAACTTCAAAGTCAATTCCAGCTCCAAGTTCAGCTTTTTAAAAAAAAAGAGATTTATTATTTATTTTTAAAGATAGGGGAAGAGAAGGAGAGAAACAATGTGTGGTTGCCTCTTGTGAACTCCCCACTGGGGACCTGGCCCACAACTGAGGCATGTGCCATGACTGGGAATCAAACCAGCAACCCTTTGGTTCACAGGCTGGTGTTCAGTCCACTGAGCCACAGCCAAGGCCAATTTCAGCTTTTAAAACAAACAAGACATTGGAGGGAAAGAATTATTTGTTATGCCACTTAAGATTAGATAACCCAAACCCCAACTTCCTCTCTCTCTCTCAATCTCTCTCTCTCTCACACACACACACGCACATGCACCTCCTTTGGCATTTTATGTTCCACATGCTACTGTCCTCATGCAGTCCTGGGGCTGGCCCCTGTAACCCCTCCTCTACCTCCCTTCCAGGCACCAGTCACTCCCCTGTGTAATGACATACACATCTTCCCTTTCCTCCCTGTTGTAACCTGGCATCCCGGATCCCAGGAGACATACATAGCACTTTCTGCTCCCCATCTAGATGGGAATATACAAGGTTAAGGCAGAGAAAAAACGGCATGGGAATCTCCAGAGGAGAACCGGAATCTATCCAATTAGTTGACCCCTTACTTTCCTCTGGGGATCTTGTCACTTTGCTTCCCACTACTGTGATCAGACCCAGACCCAGACCAGATGTGCAACTTCTTCAAAAGTATCTAGGCACAGGCAAAACCCAAACCTCTACCCCCAGACTAGACTAGACTAGAGTAGAATTTCAAATGGAATTTGCTTTGTGAAACAAATAGAAACAGAAACAGTGAATGGAAAAATGAAAATAAAACATGACAAGACTTCAAATAGGAAGTTATTAAAGAAAACATAGTCAAGTAGAAATTGATGATTACTCACATGACACCCAAGCTAATTAATTGAACACTATATAAAAACTTAAAATGAAACACAAAACTGATAAAAATTATGGAGATTAATTTCTGAGCCTATACTTACTAATTAGCATAGCACCCTTTCCCTTCCTACCTTCATGGCCTTGCTCAGGAATTACCATTTTGAATTCATGAGCACTTTCCCCTCCTGTTGACTTCTCAGTAAACTTCTTCCAGAAGAGGTGCCCTGGTCACAAGGATCCTTCTGAAGAAAGCATGGGTGTGGAGGAGATTGGTTCATGGGGTGGACAAACACTGAGCACCTTCTTTGGACATCGGGTCTGTATGAACAGTGCTACTCCCACTCTTATATAGGCCCCCATCAGCATAGAAACTGTCCAAGGATGAAGGGACCTAGTCTCTATGACCAGCCCTCCCGCCCACCCACAACCATGGACATCAGCACACAGGAAGATTCCACACAGTCGCCTGAATGTCACAGCTCATCAGATTCTGGTCACATGTGTTCCTGTATAGATACCTGTTGGGAACTGCCCTGCCTGGTTTTATGAATTGTAACTGCCTCCCACGGCTAATTGAATGACCTCCGTGTAGTGGCCTGCCCAGGAAGGGGGCTAGCCACTGAATCAATAGGATGAATGTAATGGCTAATAGCCTGCCCAGGAGGGGCCTCACAGCTGAGTCAACAAGATCAGGGAGAGCAAATAATTAAGTAACTGGGAAGTAAGAACAAAGAATTTTGTATGAATTCCTATCAGAAGTTCTGCTTTCTTGCTTCTGTAAGCTGCTTCCTGCTTTTGAGACAGAAGTAATGGTCCGAATGAAAGACCACCCCCTCACCCTATATAAGCAATTGTTCCCCACTAATTGGGGCCCAGAATTTGGAGACTGCCTCCTCTGGGTTCCTCATGGGTAAATAAAGTTCCACTCCATCCCCCCAAAAGTGGCTGAGTTGTTTTCTGTAACATCCAGAATGCGAGCCACATGAGACAAAGCTTGTCTCTGGCAGCAAGTGCTACTTCTGCTTCTTCCTTTGCCCCCAAGACATGGTCGATGTCCATGGCGGATACGGCCCCTCAGAGAGGGGCAACCTAGGCCGGACATGATCACTTGGGAGGCCATAATGGAAGGACTCGGGGCTGTGACAAAGAGGGAGCAATGGACCCTCATCCCCAGCTATTGTGACATAGCCTGAGTCCTCATTTCTGTCTGGGAGAAGCACTTTCTGGCTCTAATCCATTTAAGCCTAAAAAACCTATGATGGGGAAGGCGGTGCATCCCTGTGCTAGAAAGGTCAGGTATCTGGGGTAAATCAAGGCATAACAAAGAATATATAAAAATCCTGTGAAACCTCTTTGTTTAGAATGCTCTCATTTAAATGATAAGGATCCCAGCAAGAAGTTTGTTCCTCAAAGTTTTGTGGCTCCTTAGCTATCTGACCCTGATTGAGAATAAGCCCTCATGGTTCTTTGAATGCTATCTATTGTTTGATTCTTACCTGTATTCTTGTGCAAACAAACCCAATAAAAGCCCCTTGTGGAGGGGGCTCTGGGCCCTTTCCCTCTGAGGGATCGGCCACCTTGCCTCCCCAAGCAGATCATGCCTAGTAAACACTAGGTAGTGTTTACTTTCACCCGTGGTGGATGGGGGGACTTTGCAGGCAAAGTTGCCCCCATAGATACACCTACTGAAACACACCTCTGTAACTCCTGGTTCTCCCTCCACAATCCTCTGTTAGGCTAAGTTCATGAAGCACTTCTCTTTATTTCTGGTGGGCTGAGGATTTGCCTCAAGTCCAGTATCCAACTATGATTCCAAAAAGAGTGGCACAGCCCAGCTTTCTGTGTCCAGGAGGAGTCACCCTTCTCTGGACACAAACAGTACCTGGCTTTTGCAATTTGAAATCCAGTACCCCACAGTGGCTGCCCTTTGGGTTAGAGTTGGGAGGGAATGGAGGCTGGCTCTGAGGAGGGGTGTGCCCACCAGCACAAGGGGCCTCAGAATAAAACCGTCCACTTACTTCCAGTTGAGGTGAACAAACATCCCATAAAGAAATTGTTCTTATACCTTAAACAAGTTATTTAACCTCTCTGAAACTCACTTTCTTCATGTGTGATGTGGAGGGAGACAATTTTTTCTTTGTGGGGCTGTGGTGAGATACTGTACAAACATAAAGCTCTTAACCCGGTGCTAGGTCATGATCAGCACTCAAGGTATATTCTGTTCCCCACTTAGGATATTGAAGAAATAACCACCAGAACTCAGATCTAAAGTTAAGCTCTGCCCTTTGAATCCTGACTATCTGAAGGTCTGTGTCAGGGTTATGATGAGGATCAACTGAAATAATGCGTGTAAAGCACCCAGTGTGGTGCCTGGCCCAGAAAGTTGAGTCACTATTTTGGGCTCCCTTTGTGCCGCTCAAATGTTTTTAGTCATATTCAAGTATGAGCTCATTTAATCCTCATAAAACCTTTTATGAAGTAAGTGAAATAAACTGGTAATCCCTTCCTCTACCTGATTCTGTGACTCCATCCCATCACAGTTCAATTTCTTCTTATGAATTATGAATTTTAAAACCGCCCAAATTCTGTCTTTCTAGATGGAGAAATGCGGGGAGGACTCCTCCACTCCAGTAGGAGAGAATCAACCCCAGTCCCCAACTCTGCCCACGGTCCCTCCCCAGTGACTCAGGAAAAGGCAGGAAAAGCAGTACTTCCACCAGAGTTTATTCCTCAGTGATATCACCAGTGACTCATTGCCCTCTGTGTCCCAGTGGGGCTCCCAGGAAGGCCCTTAGCCCTCCTCCCCAGATTATATTCACCCCAGAAATGTAGCCTTGGACAATTACTTGATTACAGGATATTCCCAGAAATGAGTTTCTCCAAGTTGCTGAGGTGTACATGGGGAGGAGACTGGGAAACACAAAGAACTGTGTGGAGAAACCATGAGATCCAAGAAAACTGGAGGCTTGAGGATGTTAGAGGGCACAGCAGCATCACTAAGAGTTTGAATCTCCTTGTCACTTGGAGTGAAAGTCGTAGAATCCTGCCTCTAAGAAATGTGCCGACCTACAGAAGAAGTAAAAAGGAGATAATAAGGCTTCTGACCAACTTGACTTCATCGTTTATAACCATCATGCCAGAGCCCCTAACGCAGTGATACTGAAACTTCCATCACTACCTTCCGCCTCCTTCCTGTAGACACTCCACTGGGTAGAAGAGGAGGGCAGGCTCTCCTCTTTCCTGCTCCTAATTCCAACAGTGGTGGCTTAAATCATGCTGGTGGCCTGATCCTGGTGGAAGCTCACCCTATTATAAGCACCTTAGCTGAACCCAACACTGACCCCCCCAAACTTCACCCCTTCCAAAGGAGCAGTAGGTAAACGGACCAACACAAATGTTACCTTCTGGAAAATTGGAGCCAGGGAGGGCAGTATAGCCTAGGAGAGGAAAATATTTGATTAGAGGACAATCTTTGTGGATAAAAATATCTGGCATTATTCACAGCAAATGAGATAGCAATGGGAGAACCAATCACAGAGAGAAAGTGAGTAGAGACTGGGAGTGAGATCAAGAAGGTTACTCACCAGAGGAGCCAGCTCTCCGCCAGCTGAGCAAACCAAGAGAGAAGATGAGGAGGCCCAGGCCGAGAGTTGCTATAGACACAGAAACCTTCACTGTCTGTATCGGGGACAGTCCAGGTGCTACAAAAATAGAAACTTACTAGAACCAATTTCTGTTGTTCGTTCCCAGAGCAACTTTATTCCGAACTCTACTTAGCAGAGTCAAAGGTGCTTTATCACAACCTCAAGGGTCTAGCTCATGCCAACTCGCTCCTCAAAATTCCCACCCTGTGAATCACTATTCCTAGCATAACCCTGGGGGATCCCTAGAGGTAGCAGCTTAGCTTCTAGTTCCTCTGTAACATGGTGGTCCTCTCAAGGCATCCTTCTCTCTTCCTTCGCCCCAGAGAATAAAGCATTCCTCATTACCTCTCTGTTTACCCTATGGTGACAATGTTTGTTCCATTACTTTTTCTGAGTTTTTCCTATTAAAATGTATTGCCACCCCTCCCAATCTCCAGTGGTTCTATTCTGTAAGTTATGTGTCTCCTCCTGTCCACATCCAGATTTCCTGTGTGTTCTTCCAGAACCTGCCTTCACCCCACTTCACAGTCCCAGAGCTGATCCTACCCTAAATCCTGTCCCACCTAGATTCCTTGCCCTTGCTAAAATGAACATCCCACAACCAAAGAGAACTCCTTGCACAGGCTGTGAGGGAGCCTTTTCCAAGAGAGCCTGTTGGTTCCACTCTCTGCTTGTCACACTGCCCAACAAGACACACTATCCCCACGGCGGGGGGCGGGGGTGTCTCAGCAGCCAGTCTGGGATCCTGTTCCCTGGCCCTTGTGAACACTCTTCCTCTTTCTCATTTCTTCCTCTTCTCTTTCCCAAGAATTCCCAAATCTGAGTGTAACTTTCCTCCATTCCCTTAACTACTTCCAATCCTGGGGTTTGAGCAATCATGATTGGTGCCTTGTTGATTAGCTCCCAACATGCACATCCAAGTGTTTACCAGCCATGGCTTTTCCTCCCTGACCGAGCAGCCCAAATGTAGTACTATCCCATGTCAGGAGACAGTCCCTTTTCTTCTGCAACCTTCTTTATTTCTCCCATTCTCATTACTGATCTGACAACAGAATAGTTGAAATCTAAGGGTCCTAGAATATTACATCACACTTTTTGGTTCTGAAATCTACATCCCCTTCTCAAGACAGTCCTGTTCCCTTCCCACCCTCAGACGAGCACATGACATCAACACCACCACCATAGCAACCACAAAAGTAACTAACTTTTCTTTCTTGTATCCCATTGGCCCATCTTCAGTCATAAACCCTCCATAAGTTTCTCCAGGCCCCATTCTCATGCTTGGCATCTCCCTCTCTACAATACACCACAGACTTCTCCGCATCTCACCCCCTCTGCCAAAATATTTGTGCTCATTTTCGACCGCCCACTTGCAATACCTTTCTGCTTTAACCCTACTTCCCTCCTGCCATGCACTTACTCCAGTACACAAGGATGGGCTCAGGAGCCCCAATGTGCTCCACCACACAGATGTAGGTGTCCCCAAAAGAGGGGGTTGTGGCTAAATGGGAGACGGTCTGGTATGTCCAGTCTCCATTGGGCTGGGCAACCTTATGGGCACTGCCATGAGGAGGGACGAGCTGCCCGTTCTTCCTCCATGTGATGGTCACATCTGCTGGGTAGAAGCCCCACACGTAGCAGGCCAGCATCACGGACTCCCTCGTGTTAAAAGGAGTGGTTTTGGCTACTTGCACAGATGGAGGCCCTGCAGAGAGGAAAACATGGTCATGAAGGAGGGATGGCCTTTTCTCCACCCCGGCTTCTTTCCTTCTTTAATTCTGCATGGATTTTGCCAGCCTGCTGTCCTCATCCCCACCCCAGGCCACCACACGTCCCTTTAAAAATAAGGAATCAGAATTTACTCCTGCTTTGCTCTTTTCCCACCCCATTCTTTCACTGCCCCTCCCTTTTTCCTTCTCTAAAATTATGTTTGATCACAGTAAGTACATGCCAGGTCTGAACTGCAAGCTGTTTCAGACATGACTGTACTTACCTCGAGCACACAAGCTAACAGTTGTCCAGGGTTGTAAGTTGGGGTTTATGTAAAGGCAGAAAGAGACTTTTGTCATCAAACCTCATTTAACAAATTAATTTGCTAAATAAAGTGCTTTTTCCCCAGATAGTTTAAGGAAATAAGCCTAACTCAGGACTCTCTTAAATTTGCAAAAGTGTAGTTCAAATTAATAAGATTGTTAATGTATACATTTTTTACTAGTTTATTCTCCTAGCATACTCATCTGCTTGTCTTTCTCTTGGTACTTTCCAACAAAATTTTAAAAATTGTCTTGAAGCGCAGATTCCCCAGCCCACAACCCCAGATACTTTCATTCTAAGGGTCTGCAGGGCTCTCAGGGGCTGCACTTTTAACAAGTACCTTCCCCAGGCAATTCTGAGAAAGAAACCACACCTCAAAACACAATACTCCATTCTGTGGAGATCATTTCCTTTTACCAGTCTCAAGTCATTCTCAATGCATGGGAGTAAGGGAAGAGAGCATACATGGTCAGAAGCTTTATAAATACTCCCATGCCTGGGTCCATCCAAGACCTAGAACATCATCAGGTCTTGGGACAGAAAGGCATGAACAATTATGGAAAGCCATTCTGGCTATTCTGACACACCCCTGGGAGAACTGGGGGCTGCCTCCTGAGATGCCTGCCTAGGAGGAAAGCTTGTGGACTCCCCACTCAAGAGCTCCTTGTGGGCTCCAACATCACCTCTCCTGTATTCCCTCCCCAACCCTACCAACCACCTTGTGCCCCCTTCGGTGTCAGTCCTCCCTCTTTTGACATCCAGGTCTACACATTTTCTGCCCAAATCTCAAAACCCTCACCTGCTGAGGGATCCTCCTTGGCTTCCCCTCTCTTAACTTTGCTTCCTAATAGCCCATTGGCACCCCTCTCTCCTTACGTGTCCTTTGGGTCAGTGATCCCCAAAAGGGCTGTGTGTGTGTGGCACAGTTCTGAAGCCCCTCAGATAAGCGCTGGAGCAGGTCTTTCTGTTCGTTGAGGTAACTGGAGAAGTAAGTGGCCAAACCATTCAGCACCCCAAATTCACAAGGGACCATTGCTCTCTCCTTTGGATCCCAGCAGGTCAGCAAATCTTTGTTGAAGGAGATACAATATGTAAAATCCTGTGGAGTCCCATCATCATCCAACAGACAGGTGCTTTCCACATGGGCCACAAAGCCACCTGCAGGAGCCAGAGAAGAGGGCAGGTCAGAAACCAGGCTCAGCCCTGGCTGGTGTAGCTCAGTGGATTGAGTGTGGGCCTGCGAACCAAACAACTACAGTTCAAATCCCAGTCAGGGCACATGCCTGGGTTGTAGGCCAGTTCCCAGCAGGGGATGCATGAGAGGCTACGATACACTGATATTTCTCTCCCTCTCTCCTTCTCTTCCCCTCTAAAGATAAAAAAAATAAAATCTTAAGGAAAAAAAAGAAACCAGGCTCAGTGACACCCAGGGAGCTGGGCACACGTTTCCCACCTCAGGCAGTATCTACTGACCAAGCTCATTAACTGGAAGCCCCAGGAGCCCTGATTAAGGAACTGGATAGTAGTGGCAAAGATGTTTTTAGAACCTGTTTCCTCCTCACGTGAGACCAAGGAGCAGCCCAATACTATTTGCTTGCGTAAAAATGATGATTTACCCCGGACAAGACCTTCAATAAGCCACATTGTTGAGTGAGAAAAGGGGTCAAGGGAAAGAGTCAGCCTTGTTCTGCGCTGGACGTGTTGTTAAATATTCACTCCATACATATTTATAAAGTATCTCTGTGTGCCAGGCACTGTGTGAGGAGCTGGGGTACAACAAACAAGACAGATGTGGTCCCTGCCTACATTCCAGCACGAGATCTGCATTATACAAATAATTACACAACTCAATTACCATTAAAATTGCTACAAAGGTACAGTGCAAGTGCTGTCAGAGTATATAATAGGGATACAAACTAGCCTGGGGCATCCAAATCCAGTAACAAAACTGAATTCCCTTACCCAGAGAAAGGGGCAGAGGAAGGCAGGTCCCAGGAAGGAGTGTCCTTACCTGCTCCGGTGCAGCCGAGGCTGAGGCCCAGCAGCAGCTGCAGGAGTGTGGTCATGATCGGCTCTGAGAAGACACAGGGAACGTGGTCCCCTGGACCACCTCTTCCAGGGCCTTGAATTCTTGCCTGCTCCAGAAACTGCAGCCCAGGTGAATGATCTCCAGACCCTGAGTGGAATATGGTATTGCCTGGGCCCCTTGATCCCCACTAAACAAGTGGTTTGGAGCCACACAGCCCCTAGACATTAACTTGTTCCTGATCTAACGAGGTTGTCAAATTGGCTATTAAACGTAGAGACAAATCGGTGAGTGCCTCAGCCTAGTGTCATCAGTTGCTAGGTAAATCTCATCCTGCCTTAGGCTCTAAACAACTCCAGGTCTTTCTTAACTCTTCTTGTGGAACAACCAGTCTGTAGGTAGATTTCCCTGAGTCAATGGAGAGAATACATCCACTATTCCCAGGATGCATGTAGCCTGTCCTGCCCACTGGTTGAACTGTTTCCTTTCAACGTCCTCCCCAAAGACGGACTAGATAACCTCCTTTGTTCCTTAAAGGGGGGTTACTTGGGAAGATATTCCATTACCCTTGGTCTGTCCTGTCACCCAGCAGATGGAGCACACAGGCCCTTCTGAGGCAGGTGGCAGAGGCAGGATTGCTGAGAAGGAAAGAGGCATGGGAGAGTGAGGGTTCTCTCTGGCCTCAAAGCAAGACAGCAGAATAAGGAAGGCCAGTCCATGCAGGGTCAGGGACATGGGCCTGAAAATCCCTTCCTGGCCCAGTCTTCTTTCGTCCAGCCAGTGGAGTTTCATTTCCTCCTTTCTGCTTTCTGGGACAGGAGACCCTATCCTCCTACACTCTGAGACACCTCAGGACAGACTGCAGTTAAACTCCACTCAAACCCCTTGATAAATACTGTCGATGGGCTTGTACCTGAAGCTCACCTGTCTTCCCCAAACTTGAAACTCCCTGTGTGTTTCCTCCACTGGTCCCATCTAAGCCAGGGCAGGTCCTTGCATTATGAAGCCATGAGAAAAATAAGATAAAACTTCTCTACTGTTCTTCCCTTGGAAAAGGCAGGTTGATCTATCTATCTATCTATTTATTTTTAAATCAAATTTATTGGGTTGATGTTGGCCAGTAGGATCATATAGGCTTCAAGTGTATATTTCTATGCTATGCAATCTGTACATTGCACAGTATGCCCACCACTCAAGGTCAAATCATCCTCCATCACCATATGTGTGGCCCCCTTTACCTTTTACTAGCCCCTACCCCTCTTCCCTCCAGTAACCACCATACTGTTGTTTGTGTAGATGTTTTTCTTATTTGTTAATTTATATCTTTCAGTTTTATATCCCACATGTCAGTGAAATCATATGGTTCTCAGTGTTTTCTGACTACCTTACTTTGGTTGGCATAATATTCTGAAGGTCCATCCATGTTGTCTCAAAGGGCAATATTTCATATTTTCTTATGGCTGAGTAGTATTTCATTTTGGGGGGGCTCAGAATAAACTGGAATTATCTTCTGGAGAGCACCCCTTGTATTGCAGGCTTCCCTCGCTAGGCAAGTATTCTAGGAGCCCATCTGTATCAGTGTACCAGATGGCGTTGTTGCGAGAGGCTGCGTTTGGCTTCAGTGAATTTTTTTGAAGACTCCTTCAATATGTTTGCCCATTTCGTGGTGAGTGATTTACAAGTGCACCTGCCCACACTGCACTGAGTGTTGAGTAGTTTTTGACCAAAAACAGCATGACCCCCATGCCCCACCCTCCCTAGTCACCCAATCTTGCCCCAAATGACTTACTTTGTTTCCTCTGGTTGAAAAAATTCCTCAAAGGGAAATGTTTAGCCAACGTGCAAGAGGAGAAACAAAAAATAGTAGAATCACTAAAGGGCATCAAAATTGACAAATTCAAAAACCGTTTTCAGCAGTGGAAAAAAATAGGAATATTGCATCAAATGGAGAGTACTTGAAAGTGACCAAAGTTTAAACATGTAAAAGTAAGTACACAATTTTTTAAAATTTATTTTATTTATTTATCTTTGGAGGGGAAGGGAAGGAGAGAGGGAGAGACACATCAATGTATCCTGTATGTGCCCTGACTGGGAATCGAACCGCGATTCTTTGATTCGTAGGCCCGCGCTCAATCCACTGAGCTACACCAGCTAGGGTGCAAGAACACAATTTTTTAATAAATAAATTCCTGTTTTTGGAGGTCCCCCCTCATATGTACCACATATTCTTTATCCAGTTATCTACTGAAGGACACTTGAGTTGTTTCCATGCCTTGGCCACTGTGAATAATGCTGCAGTGAACACGAGGGGTGCAGCATGCATATATCTGTGCCAGTAAATGTTTTCAAGTTTTTGGAGTAGATACCCAGAAGAGGGATTGCTGGGTCATATTATAACTCTGTTCTTAATTTTTTGAGAAACTTCTGTACTGCTTTCTATAGTGGCTGTACCAGTTTACATTCCCACCAGCAGCGAATGAGGATTGCTCTTTCTCCACAACTTCTCCAACATTTGTTATTACTTGTCTTATTGAAAATAGCTATTCTAATAGGTGTGAGGTGTTATCTATCATTTCATTGTAGTTTTGATTTGTATTTTCCTAATAGCTAGTGAAGTTGAGCATCTTTTCATGTATCTGTTGGCTGTTTGTATGTCTTCTTGGGAGAAGTATCTGTACAGGTCCTCTGCCCATTTTTTAATTGGATTGTTTGTTTGTTTGTTTGGTATTGAACTATATGAATTCTTTATATATTTTTATATTAACCCCTTGTAGGAGCTGTTATTTGCAAATATCATCTCCCATTCAGTTGGTTGCTTTTTAATCAATATTTTGTTGTCAGTTCTCTTGCTGTGTAAAAAATTTTTAATTTGATATGGTCCCATTCACTTATTTTTGCCTTTATTTCCTTTGCATTTGTGGGGTCAAATTCATAAAATGTTCTTTACAACCAAGATCCATAATTTTAGTACCTACATTTTCTTCTATGTAATTTATTGTTTCACTTCTTATATTTACACCTTTGATCCATTTTGAATTAATTTTTGTACATGGGGACATAGTGTAATCTAGTGTTATTCTTTTGCATCTGGCTTTCCAATTTTTTCACCAGCACTTATTGAAGAGGCTTTCTTTTCTCTTTTGCGTGTTTTTGGCTCTTTTGTCAAAAATTATTTGCTCATATACTTGTGGTTTTATTTCTGGGCTCTCAATTCTGTTCCATTGGTCTGTGTGTCTGTTTTCCTGCCAATACCATGCTGTTTTGATTATCATAACTCTGTAGTATAATTTTAAGTCAGGTAGTGTGATATCTTCAGCTTTGTTCTTTTTTCTCAGGATCGTTTTGCCTCTGTGGGGTGTTTTGTGGTTCCATACAAATCTGATGATTTTTTATTCTATTTCTTTAAAAAATGACATTGGGACCTGACTGGTATGGCTCAGTGGATTGAGCGAGGGCCTGCAAACCAAAAGGTCACTGGTTTTATTCCCAGTTAGAGCACATGCCTGGGTTGTGGGCTGGGTCTCCAGTAGGGGACACTCAAGAAGCAACCACACATTGATTTTTCTCTTCCTCTCTTTCTCCCTCCCTTCTCCTCTCTCTAAATGTAAATAAATAAAATGTTTAAAAAATGACATTGGGATTTTGATGGGGATTGCATTAAATCTGTATATTGTTTTGCATGATATGGCCATTTTAAGCATGTTAATTCTTCTAATCCATGAACATGGAGTATCTTTCCATTACCCTGGAAAAATTAATTTTTAAAAAGATTTTATTTATTTTATTTTTAGACAGAGGGGAAGGGAGGGGGAGAGAGAGGGAGAAAAATATCAATATGTGGTTGTTTCTCATGTTCCTCGTACTGGGGACCTGACCCACGCACAACCCAGGCATGTGCATTGACTGGGAATTGAGTTGGCGACCCTTTGGTTTGCAGACCAGCACTCAGTCCACTGAGCCACACCAGCCAGGGTTGCAAAAGATGGATTTTTGAATGGCAATTCATCCATTCATCCTCCTATCCCATTGTGAACTATATCACTGGTGACTTTTTCCATCACAAATTTACAACCCTAAGTTGGTTTCTCTGTTTCCCAGAAGACTTCATAGTTGCCTCTTCTCGCCTTGGTTTCTGAAAGCTCTTGGATTTTATTTAATAGCCAGTTAAACAAAAGAGGATTAGAAGGAAGCCCCTGCCACTACACTTGTCTGTCCTCCATCAAAGTCCCTGATTCCAAGAAATTTCTTATCTTTATGAAGAAAATGGAAGGAAAAAACAAACAAACATGGAGCAATGGTAATACTGAAATGAATGAATATCAGAAATAAAAGACTTATTTCATATAACTGAGCTTAACTGGAGGTGCGCCCATGTTTCCTGGCCACCTGCACTCTCAACCTCACCCTGGTGGTAAGATTGTTCTAGACTCTAACTGCCCTAATGAACCATCAAGTATGTTGGAGTGGGCAGAAAATGGGTTGGGAGTCCAAAATTTGTCAAGTTTCTACTTTGTGACAGATTCTATACTAGGCAGGTCTTTTAGAAGCCATCTCATTTAATCTTAAAAGATCTGTTAATTGTCTTCATTTTAGAGTTTTAGAAATAGGTCCAAAGATACACACTGAAGGTCTAGAGGTGCACACACATAAATTTGAGTGTGCCCACATGCTCGATATCTCCTGGGACTAAGATAACCTTGCAGCTAGTGGCGTCCTCCAGAATTCCTTCTGCTTGTTGAAATTCTGTCTCTTCACTTTCTCTTTCAAAGTTTTCAAATGGGCAAAATCTCCTACACACACACACACACACACACACACACACACACACACACACACACACATACTTCCCCCATATGTCCTCCACCTTCCCCTAAGTAGGAGGAAACTAATCTTGCCAGAATTGGGTCTTAGGATCCTTTTCAATGTTTACAAAGCCTGGCCTAGCACAGGACTTCTCACCCACCGTGTGGCTGGCTTTGGTATGGCCCTCGGCCAACACAGTGATGCTAAGAGGGGTTCCCTCTCTTGCCTAGGACTCTGCTCTGGCAGCTAAAGGAGATGTGAAACCTGTAAGGCAGCAGCAGGAAATGTAGATTTCACTTCTTTGTTAATGAGAAGACTTGAGGGTGATTTTTAGAATAAGGAAGGACAGAAAAACCCAGAGACCTGTGCTCAGCAAAGCAGTTTCTTCCTTCCCTCTTTCTCTACTTCCCCTTAACGCTACTTTTCTTTTGTTTGTTTTTACAGAC